ATCAATGTTTTATATTTATCAATAAGCTTCTCAGATCAATATTTCCTTACATTATTAGTCCAACATGTACCATAAAAACTGCATTGCTACTAGCACCCTTAACTATCTCTCTGGTTCTATCAGTTGTATCCTATATCCCTGCTCCTGGCTAGCATAAGCGTAATCTTTTGCTCCTATTTACTCCATATACTACTCTATCTACATGCCTAACTGGAGAGTCACCTACAACTACAACTTCCCTATCCTTTACACTATCATTCCTTGAGATCCAAAGTTAGAACATGATCGACAAAACTTGGACACTTGCTAGAAATGTATTACTTTAACTCATGTTTATATACATACGTCATAAGTCTGTGACTTAAGAACGTTGGGCATAATTTTTCAACTCCTCTATTCAGTCCTTGTTGTGTGCAGGTTTTTCACCATTGAAATATTATATTATACCTTGCTTAACTTTATCCTTAAGGCAGAGTAATACATTAGAAACTATTGCCATAAGGAACTTAAGGCTAGCATATATTTTAAAACTAAATTTAATATCTTATAGATGCATATATGAAATTAAATATTTACAAAACTAAATAAAATTGTTTTCATGTGAGAAAAAAAGGGACAGAATTATACATGTGGTATTATTTTTTGGCACTTGTGTATAATGTTAAAATAATAAATAACACACAACATTAAAATAGGTACACAATTAAAAATATTGTAATTAAGGTCAATATATTTTTAATTGTATGTTTTAACGTTGTGTGTTATTTATTATTTTATACATGTTATAGTTGAAAATTGCCAGTATTTTTCCATTTCGTAACTAGAATAAGAAAATATCTTTATTTCGTTAAATGTTTTTTTTTAAAATTGTATGTGAGTGTTCTTTCATTTATTTAGCGTCCTACTTGAATGAAATATGCAGAAGATCTCTGTATGGAAGCTAGGATTGTGGGAGACCATCTGGGACTGTAGTCTAACCAAGAAATCATGGTATTAACACAATCGCTACTTATTCGTGAGACATTTGTGTTTCTCTCTCGCTCCAACAACAAATAATAATAAAGAAAAGACGCAGGCAATAGTCTAAAAATCAGCCAGTATATGAAGTTAGTGATGACAAGACATCAACCTGAACACAACATGGTTTGTAAATAAAGCTTTTTATATTTTAGTGTACTTGTGGGCATGACGTGGTGGATAGAGTGCTCGACTTGCAATCATCAGGCTGTGGGTTCGAATCCCAGTCACCGAACATGTTCGTATTATAATGCAACGGTCAACGCAACTATTCGTTGGTAAAAGAATAGCCCAAGAGTTGGCGGTGGGTGGTATTGACTAGCTGCCATCCTTCTAGTCTATCACTCCTAAATTATGGACAGCTAGCGCAGATAGCCTTTTGCGCGAAATCCAAACAAACCAAACCAAAAACCCAACGAGGAACATTATAAGAATTTATGAGTGAAAGTAGAGAGTATAATAACTTACCAACCAATATGTATATAATTTGTTACTTATAAACGTAATTAAGAGCAGTTAGGTCAATTTTAAAGGCTTATTTATTTTTAAATATATTTTTTGAAAAAGAAACATAATCAAACACTTGTCAAATTGTAACGGACTAAACAAAACGCCGCTACGACCAGGGTCAAACAAAAACAATTTTTTAAAATACAATAACTGAAATAAAAAAAAACTTTCAGATAGCTAGAATAAAAATCTGATCGCTCATAACATAAAAACATTAGTAAATCCGTGCCTGGCTAGGACTAGGTACAAACGTTACAATTTAAATAATAATAATATATATTTTTTTATACCTTTCATAGATTTTCAAGTGAAGGCTTGAAAGTTTTTACACTCACTCTTAGCAGCAGGCTCGACTTTATGCTGCATCATGGCTCTAGCAGAAGTTTGTGGTGTTACTCTTAATTATTTAGATAAGCGATTGTATGAAGAAAAGGGTGTTTCAGAACCATTTCTTGAGTTAACCGAAGAGTCTTTTTTAAATCATACGCAACTTTCATTTCCAGATTTTTCGGATGTAAGTAATATTTACTTTTTTAGTAAATTAAATCGTACGTTACTACAGCCACTATACTGTATTGTATTACTATTATGTATACAGTATAGCCTAATACTATACTTTTATACTAATATAGCCTAATACTATACTTGTATACTAATATAGCCTATACTGTATAACTTATAACCATTACACTGCACCGATTAGCAGTAAGAAACGTCAAGCCGTTTCTCTTAATAAAAAATCATCGACATGAGAAAGTTGTACTTGTAGCTTTAACTTTAAGTTTAAAATAATCTGATTTACTGAAAAACGTAGAAATACTTTATAAGTTATAATGATATATTTATCGTATGTATCATATATGATATTATTATTAATGTATATAAGAAACTGTAGCATTAGCAGACTAAAGTTAAATAATTATACTTGTTTCCCACTAAATAGCATTAAAAACTGAGTGTGAATAAAATTTAAAATTAAAAAGTGACAGCTCTTAAGTTATAAGTATTATATAAAAACTATATATTGTAGTTTTACTATTGTATATACTATGGCTCCCATAGCCTGTCAATCTCACCGAAGCTGGGAAGATCCAGGCATTTCAGACTAACATACAAACATATTGTAAAGCCACTAAATAGTCTTTTGGACTTTATTTTGAACAAAAAGTTGGTAAATCCATAAATTGTCAGTAATTAAGCTTGTTGCTCTTTATTGGTAAACACATGTCAATTAAAATCCATCCCATGTTCTCCACCCCACTGTATGGATGCCAGCCCATCAAAGTTGAACCCCCAGATATATGCTGGTACCTATTGGTATTACACCAATGGGGAGACTGAAATAATTGGTGCAAGGGCCATAACAACACATCATAAGAAGGTTGTGAGTTTGAGGATTGTTAAATAATTCTCTGACTGGATATTAGAAGGTTGTGAGTTTGAGGATTGTTAAACAATTCTCTGACTGGCTATTAGAAGGTTGTGAGTTTGAGGATTGTTAAATAATTCTCTGACTGGCTATAAGAAGGTTGTGAGCTTGAGGATTGCTTATAGCCAGTCAGAGAATTGTTTAACAATCCTCAAACTCACAACCTTCTTATAGCCAGTCAGTTAATTGTTTTCTTTATCTGTGTATTGACAATGATACAATGCTCAAGTTTGGAATAAAAAAAAGTACCACAAAATTTACCATACAGGACTGAGTGATGATTATCTATAACCAGTTTTTGGCATGTGTTTGTGTGTACAAGTACATACATATATCAGACTTTTTATTCTGAGGTGAGCAGTTACATTTCTTATTTCGAGTTAGAGTGCACGATGTATCACGATCATAAAAATAATGGATACACTAATTTATATTTATGTAAAAATTGCAAACTTTTAAATGCTCATGTCTCAGTCTTACTAAGCCATAATGTATCTGTTTGCCAAAAGCTACTAAATGAACATTTTAACACCATTTCCCAAAATATCATATCACTTAGTGATATATTACCCATTCAGTTATCTGTAGAGTGAGTTAAATCTGTTAACCTAATTTTGGACAGGGAAAACAAATATTTTTGGTATCTATACAAGATGTTTTGAAATACAGTGCATCTTTTAATGAAATAGTTATTGTAGGGCCCTGCTTGAATCTCCAAGGTGTCCACCTGACACCTTTAAAAGTCATTTCAAGTTTTAAAACAAAATTATGTAAAATATTTTTTTTCAATGTGTTAATACCTTTTCTTGAAAAAGTTTAGTGCTACAAAGTTTCATCCCAGGTTCAAAATAACATGTTTAACATAGTTAACGTTTACCTTAATTTTTAAATTCATGTTAAAAGCACGGGTTATTATTTTTTTGTGATGCTAAGACACAGGAGATAATTTAATGGACATTATCTCTTGTGTCTTGCCATCACTCTGATATTGATTTTATAATTTTCAGTTCACTAGTAACTCCAAACTATAAGTAATTGGCAACTGTAGTTACTGCAGAACTTGTCAGTTTATGGTGAGAATGACCTTCTGTGCTTTGCACATCTTTTATTACTGGTACAGGATTTATTTTCTTTGAAACTTGTGAATACACATATATACACGAATAACTTGTGCAAATTTGATATGCAAAGTTAATTTCTTTTGCATTTTTTATGTATAAAATTCATATTTAAAATGATACACATTTTATCTGGAGTAGTGGGTCTGTATATTTCTCTAAGAGATATATATTATCATGTAAGTAGAAAAACTGATACTGATTTGTGTGTGTGTGTGTGTGTGTGTGTGTATATATATATATATATATATATAGAGAGAGAGTAGTTAGTTAGTTGTTGTTGTTAGTTAGTTTACGTTTACGTTTTTAGTTTTTTAGTTTAGTTAGGTTACGTTTACGTTTACGTTTACGGTTTTACTTTTACCGTTTAC